ATACCGTCATCTTTGGCGTGTGGTTCTCACATAGTGGCCTGCAGCCTCTTGAAGGAGGATATATTCTTAGTTATTTGGTTTAACCAAGGAGGCATTTATTCCCTTTGCCAATTGACACCCAGTGATATAATTAATGATTTGAATACTGATTGAGACATGTTTGCTTCAAATGTATGTATTGTAGAACATGTCTCATTGAATTCGCAATTATGAAGCCGTAGTTGTTTAGGGGTCAGATTAAACACTGCAATACGCACGGCAAGAAGAATTATCTACCAATTTTACACCACATCACGGGATTCAAGATATGAGAGTGAATAAATTGAAGGGGTCAATGTAACAATGTTAATCCTCTTTTTTTATCCAAAACAAAGACCTTAAAATTCCCCCTGAAAACAAACATGGTCCAATCGATGTGCAAACTGTTTACTCGCTAATATTTTACGTGTGTAGATAACATTAAGATAATACACACGCTGATACAGATCTTTCATCTCAGTTCCCCCCTGGCTTATACAAATACAGACATGATGGTTGTTACAATTTTGCCCCGACCCCTTCAATTTCTTGAATTTCTTATATTTCATTTGTTGTATGTCGCAGCAATCTGCCCCATGTAATTGGACGCGTGCATCGAGAATTGGAAGCATTAGTGGATTGCAATGCTTTCAGACTATTAGGACCCGTTAGCGTTATTTTTTCTAGAATTAGTTCTGCGTGTAAACCTATGATTAATAAAGGAGTAGGAAGTTGCGTGTTTTGATCATGGGCGATGACAAAGAGTATCGTTGAAAGGCTTATAGTTGAGATAATGGTTAGAAAATAATTCGATGAATGCAACCTGGTTTACACCACATTCCATTCCTTATCTGTTTAATAGTATGTATAGAGTAGTCTAAGGTGATGTTCAGCAACTCAACGGCAGCAAGCTTTAGTTTAAGGTCTACAGGAGAAATCCTGATACAAGAAGACAGCTCACGTTCAGTATGCATATTGGGAAATTCCATATTCAATAGTGGTGTTCCCTTGAGAGGTATTTTCCTTTGACAGTGTCTAAATACCGTTACATAACGTAAATTCTGTTGGTGATCATTCTCATTTTAATTTAACTTTTATTTCACGAGTTTCTCATTATTTTCAAATATACAGATATCTACTGTGTTGTTTTGCAGGATGAAGGATGTGGCAGAGTGAGAGGATAAAGAAAAGAAATTTGATTA